AATGTAAGCGTGGTGAATCCTATTTTATGTTAAAAGGGCTTGCCATACTCCTCCACCATAACCCTCAGCATTGGTTCTCCTCAAGGATGTGTGTTGAGCCCCCTCTTAGCCCCCTTTAATAAACCCCTACTGTTAAGGTGTTTAGGTGTGAATTGCCAATCTACATATGTGTGTGTGTGTGTGTTATCTCACTCAGCCTTATAACCTGAATCCCTCACTTACTGCTGTTTGAATTGAGAAAGCTCCTCGAATGAGGAGTGAAATGTCTTCTGTTACAAATAAAGTCCAGTTGTTTTTGTATTGAACACTTTTTGAATTAATCATGTCCTGGATGACTGAGAATCTTCACCAGCATGTTGAGCCCCCTCCTGTTTACTCTGCTCACATATGACTGTGCACCTACCCATCCAGGCTGTCGCATTGTAAAGTTTGCAGATGATACAGCGGTGGTGGGATGCATCACAAACAATGATGAGTCCAGCTACAGGCAGGAGGTGGAACACCTGGAGAGCTGGTGCAAAGAAAATAACCTTCACATCAATGTGAAGAAGACAAAGGAGATGATTCTGGACTTCAGAAGGAACAAACACACCTACACCTCCCTGAACATAGGAGGATCTGCAGTGGAAGTGGTCTCCAGCTACAAGTACTTGGGTGTACACATGAACAATAACCTCAGCTGGGGCAACAACACCACCAGCCTGATCAAGAAAGCTCATCAGAGACTCTACTTCCTCAGGCGGCTGAGACGAGCTGGTCTGGGAAGTTCAGTCCTCACCTCCGTCTGCAGGTGTGCAGTGGAGAGCATCCTGTGCTCCAGCATCAACGTGTGTCATTGAGGCTGCACAGCTGCAGAAAGAAAAGCTTTGCAGAGAGTGGTGAAGGCTGCACAGAAGTCTGTTGGAGTCAGTCTCCCCACCATCACAGACATCTACACCTCCAGATGCAGGAAGAGGGCCACCTGCATCATGAAGGACCCCACTCACCCAGCACACACACTTTTTGTCCCGCTCCCCTCAGGAAGGAGGTTGAGGAGCATTAAGTGTAGAACCACTAGTCTGAGGAACAGCTTCTACCCTGAGGCTGTTAGACTCATGAATCTCTAACCAGAATAATCACTGCGAAAAATCACATCATGTTGCTGCTGATCTGTTTCATGTTGCTGCTGATCTGAACTTGCCGCCATAAACGTCACACTGCCGTATAAGTCGCATGAGTCCAAATATGTCTAATAATCTGGGGGGGAAAAACATAAATACATCGCTTCGCCATTCGCTGATAGATGGATGGATGGATAGATAGATAGATGGATGGATGGATGGATGGATGGATGGATGGATGGATGGATGGATGTGTGTGTGTGTGTCACAGTTCAAAGTGCAACTGAAAAACGTAACACAGATGTCCTTGCAGAAAGAAGAAATTGTTGAAAAGTCACAGAATATCTATTTGATAAATAAGGGGCTGTGCAGTATAGTAGTATTTAAAAGCATTTTTGTATTTTTATTTTTGAAATATAAATACTGGTTGCTCAAATTGATAAGTAAAAAAACAATACAATTTTAAAATTTTGTTGTAGAAAAATGCAAATTCAAACATAGTTTTGCCAATAGATTTCTCACTTCAGTCATTTATTGAAAACTTAACTTACTGTGACACTAGCAGGTGTTTTTTTGGGATGTATTTGTTGTCAGCAGCTCTTATATTTATTAAAATATATTTAAATAATAAGGTTTACTTTGTTAATCCCTAATGGGGAAAAATTGTATGCTTTTACGATGGACAAAAATTTAAAGTACCTACACATATTACTACATCTGCTCTGTATTCTCAGTATTTTGCAGACTATTTTATACTTTTATAAAAAATTGCTGTATTTGTTTTATCTGCTTTCAGACAATACATAGCTGACAGCTGCTACTGAAATAACAATTTTCACCTCCATGTTCAAATGTAATCAGGTTCACATCTCAGTTTTTTAAAATGTCACCTTTTGTAGTTAAATATTTCAGGTGATGTTTTATGTTTGTGTGAAGAATAAGTTGTACGATTTAATTTTCAAATATCAAATATAGGTAATTGAGCCACTCTAAATGTAGTTAGTTGAATTAACACTGTTCTGTTTTTTGTGTAGATCGACTTGGAGAGTATATTTACACTTAATCCTGATGTGGCTCCAGAAGAAGAGATTGCCCCTAGTCCAGAGACTCCACCCCCTCCAATGCCCTCTAGTGTGAAGGTCAACAAAATTGCAAAGGTGAGAAGAGTTAATCGATGTAACTAAACTCTTTTAGGGTGCCGGATTGATGGTCTGAGCCTATGAAATGGGTTGGAACTATTTTTGATTTTCTGTGAGCTTTCCTCAGTTTTCAAAAGTAAAATGATTGAAATGTAACCTGTTAGATCATTTTAATTAATTCAAAATTGTTTTAGATTTATTTATTTATTTTTATTTGTACATTTTCTCAAGCTTTTCAGCTCAATTTTAGAACATGGAGTTGCAGAATTTTTGAATGGCTGCACTTAACACTCTCACGAGATGCTGTTTGTTTTGCTTTTTTCAACACCTTGTGTTGATTTAGATACCTTGGATGTGTAAAGTAGCTCCAAGTCCTTCTCTTCATGTTTCTAATGACTGGTTACTGTGTGTGTTTAGTGGTGCCATCTCAGATATTTTCACAAGATATTTCTTCTCAGGTTCAATTTCTGTATGTCTATCTAAAGGTTGATTATCAAAGCAACATTAATTACTACAGATCAATATAAATACAGTAATGTTTTCTGTCTGTGGCAGCCATAAATTTCATAACGAATTTTGAAGTCCAATTAAAACAGCTGAACCCTATTTTTTTTTTTGCTCTTACAGAACCGACGGACAATAGCTCCTAGTAAAAATGAAACTCCATCCAAAGACAATAGAGGTTTGTTCCTGTTTTAAACTTCATGAAGCTCATTTATTTTTTCTCCATGACACCTGGACGTTTGGGTTTTTATGTGAACTTTTGTGACTTTGCGTTTCAGCTATTCCAACCCGGGTCAGACCTCCACAGCCTCAGCAGCCAGAGCCTGCTCCACCCCCTCCAGTCCAGCAGCCTGCACCGCCCACTCAAATCCAGACGCAACAGCAACTACAAAATGGTAAAATGGTCAAAACTCTTTTGTTTTTATTGTATTTTATTTTTACTAAGATGCTTGAGTTTTTTTTTTTTTTTTTATTAATTCATTTTAAAAAATTGCTATAGGATCCATATTTTAAGGCAATTAATTTAAAACCCTTGACCAAATGTATTAAGGCTAAAGGCAGTTAATGAAACGCCCTCAGAGTTGTTTTAAATGTTGTCAGAAAGCGAAGTGTCAAACCTTTTATTGTTTATAGTATTAGATTCAAACAAAAAAGTAAATAATAAAAATCTCTAAATAATCATGTTTTGTTGATCACACTCATCACAGAGTCCCCACTTCAGCTGATATCCAGAAAGGAGATTGGACAGCTTTGTATGTATCACCTCCATGTTACCCCACCCTTCAGCTCTTTATGGTGATTCTAATAGGTTTCCCAGTAGACAGTGAGCGTTGTAGTCTAACATGAAGATTGTACAATCAAATATCTACCCCCTCCTCCTCTGAGCTTTGGTGTTGAGGTGAGGCAGCACAAATGCACTCCATTCATCACATGGGCTTTCTAGGTATTATACAGGGAAAAGGACAGTTGTGCTGCTGTTTGACCGCGACACATTTTCTCAGTTTGATTTCTGCTGAGTCACAAGTAAAAACATGGAAAAGCTTCTTGTACAGAACTGTGTGTTATTCAGACCCAACTCTTAATATGACTCAGTGTTTTCTTTCATTTGATGGACTTCCTCAAAGCAATCAGTCCCCCACTTAGTCACTATGGGTCTGAAAATCCCACAGTTAACAATGTTGTGGCATTCTTGTTTTACTCTCTTGCACTGGCGCTAACAAGACTCATCTTCTACCAGATTAGAGCAGATTATTAATCCTTCTGCTCTCATAGTCTGGTTTTCCAGGGACTGGAGCCAGCACAAGACTGGAATTGTATTGCAAGGTTTTAGTCAGGGTTTGTGGTGAGATGCTGCAGCTGCAGTAGTGAGCCAATCAGATCATAAGATAGCTGTGGTTTTTATATCTGAGAGAAGAGGTGGTTTGTACTCACATTAGGCTAACCTGTGTTTAATGTTGTTACTAATCTTTTGTGAATTATTTGAAATACTAATAAGTGGGTGTGCTCTGTGTCTGGGATAAGTTTGGGGTTTGATTGTTGGTTTTACTAAGACAATAATAAAAGTCTTTTGTTGATTTGTGTTTACCAGAAACACAATGTGCCAATCATTAAGCTTTGCTTCCAATATCCCAAGGGTTTCCCTTCAATTTGAAGTAAGATCCATCAGGAAGCAGAGAGACGAGACTGAGGAAGCAGAAGAAACAAAATAAAATAAAAAGAGACCCTTACTTAAGCGGTCAACTTCTGTATTTAAATAAAATAAAACAATGAGTGTTTTTACCTGTTTCTAATGATAGCAAGGAGGAAGTCCAACTGTGTGAAGGAAGTGGAGAAATTACAGGAGAAAAGAGAAAGACGCCGGCTTCAGCAGCAGGAGATCAGAGAGAAGAGGGCTCAGGTACAGCAACGTTAGCCACATTTATTGTTGATCAATAAGTTTGTGTGCAGTTGACACTGTGTGTCTCCTTGTGTCTCTTCAGGAGGTGGATACTACCATTCCAAACTATGAGATCATGTACATGATTCGAGATTTTCGAGCCAGTCTAGACTACCGGCCACTGACCACAGCAGACTTGGTGAGTACAAACTTTAACTGCTTTTGTTTCTTTGTTTGATAATTTGCAACTTTCATTAATATTTTTTAAAAACCCTAATTTTCCACTGTCAAGATCGAAGAGCACAGAATATGCGTTTGTGTCAGAAAACGTCCCCTCAACAAGAAAGGTACAAGCTTTAATGCAGTGACAAGTCATTCCTGTATCCGAGTCTAATTCTCTGCAAACAGAGTTTTATGATTAAAGGTTTGTACTTTGCTGTGTTCCAGAGTTGACCATGAAGGATCTGGATGTGATCACCATTCCCAGTAAAGATGTAGTGATGGTTCATGAACCCAAACAAAAAGTGGACCTCACCCGCTTCCTGGAGAACCAGACCTTCCGCTTTGACTACGCCTTTGATGAAAGCACGACCAATGAGATGGTTTACAGGTTTGTAACAGCAACTCGACAGAAGATTTAACCATGAAACTCGTCTTCACTAAATCACAGTAGAGGTACCACAAATATTATTTTAGGAATATACCTTCCAATGGAGAAATGTCTTTTAAGAAAAATAAAACTACAATGGAAAGGTAAAAGTGTCATAGTATGGTAGAGATATTTAATTTCTTTACATTATCAAATGTAATTTTTTTAATTTATTTGGTACATGATAAATAAATGTATCTTGTAGATGAAGTTTAAATTGATTGTACGTTGCGTCTCATCCTGCAGGTTCACTGCCAGACCTCTAGTGGAGACCATTTTTGAGCGAGGCATGGCCACCTGCTTCGCCTACGGGCAAACGGGCAGCGGTAAAACACATGTGAGTTCATGCAGCCATCGACTCTTTGAAAAGATCAAGTGCTTAGGAAAAACTCAAAGCTTACTGTTTTCTTGTGAGAATCCTGCTTTATTTTAAAACATTTGTATAAAACGGAAAATACATATTCTCTTGTATTGGAAATATAATTTATTGATCTGGTTTTTCATACGTTACATTATGTATGATATTAATAACTTTATAATCCTTTTATTACTTTAGGTCATTGTGAACTGAACATTATGACAATATGGTATTACAGTCATTCCATTTTTATTTTATAATCATCTTTATGTGACTATCTGCAAGAAAAGCAGCGAAGAGTTCATGGTTTATCAGCTTTTATTTTGTGAGAGACCTTTGAGTATCTTGGTAAATACCTCCTGCAGCTGTCCTGGTCCGTCTCAGCTGTATTCTGATGACACTAGGCAAGACGAGGGGGAGGCTGAAGTGGGTTCCAATCAGGAGTTAAAGCCAACAACCTTATTTCAGGAAGTTAGAAACAGAACGGAACCGAATTAGAGTAAAGCTTTCAGAGTTCTGTTCTGTTATGTTGTTTATTTGTCACATGCAGGTTAACGCAAGGTCAACAATGCAATGAAGTGTTCAGGATGAGAAGAGCCAATTTGACTTGCTAAGAAAAAAAACGAGAAATGCTAAAGCATGCAATAAGGGTACAAAATAAAGTACATAAAGTGGGAAATATATATATATATTTACAAGGTCCAAAACAAAAATAGTAAACAACAACAACATGGTAGAATATAATGGTGCAAGTAGGATGAATTTGTATGAATAATTATTTCACAGTATTAGTGTAAATGTACATGACATATAATGCACATAACGTATACTACAGGGGTTACTTTCATTACTTTATTGTTTGTCCAAACAGGTCTCACTTGTAAATGAGTCTTCGAGGCTCAATGTGATTTATCTGTATAAATAAAGGTTGAATGAAATAAAAGGGGTTGTGTGACAGGTAATGAGTAACATTGAGACTAATTGAATTATGGTGGTAAGGTAGTGACATACATGATGCAGCCACTTAGTGCAGCAGCAATAAACATTAGTTGTCACAGATATTACTTAGTGCAATGTTGTTTATTGTCAGTTGTACTTGTAATGCATTAACTTTCTGTATTCTGTTTCTACAACTCTGATGAAGACTACACCTGATCATTTGTGAAACTGTTTTTTTTTTTATTTATTTTTTTATACAACACTCAAAGACTGTTTTGTGTATTTTAGACTATGGGTGGAGATTTCTCTGGGAAGAACCAAGACTGCTCTAAAGGAATTTATGCATTAGCAGGTGAGCAAACATTTTAGTGATTTAGTTAAGGGTTTGTTTTGATGGGATGAAATCTGTAGACGTCTCATTTCTTTTTGTTCAGCTCGGGATGTGTTTCTCATGTTGAAGAAACCCAACAACAAGAAGTTAGAGCTACATGTGTACGCAACCTTTTTTGAAATCTACAGTGGAAAGGCAAGTGAGATGTCTTGGTTTGTTTATTGACTGACTGTTCCCTCAAACTCAGCGCTCCGTGCAAACGACTGTGGCGTTTGTGTTTTTAGGTGTTTGACCTGCTGAATCGTAAAGCTAAGCTGAGGGTTCTGGAGGACGGGAAACAGCAGGTTCAGGTTGTGGGTCTTCAGGAGAAAGAAGTCAAGTGCACAGAGGACGTCCTGAAACTAATCGAAGTGGGAAACAGCTGCAGGTACGTCTGCAGGAACGTTCATTCTGGCTAATGGATGCAGACACATCTTTATCGAATGTACAAATGGTTGGTGAAAGTTGAAAGCACCTCTTTTTATGTTAACTTTTCATTGTTATTACAAGAAATCTTTTCTTGTTCTTACTTGTTTGCTTGATTTGTATTCTGATTTTTGTTTATTCCTTTTTTTCCTAGAACGTCAGGGCAGACCTCAGCCAACGCTCACTCGTCACGCAGCCACGCTGTATTCCAGATCATTCTTCGAAGAAAGGGAAAGATGCATGGAAAATTCTCTCTCATCGACCTCGCAGGGAACGAGAGGGGGGCTGATACGTCTAGTGCTGACCGGCAGACTCGTTTGGAGGGAGCAGAAATAAACAAAAGCCTGCTGGCCCTCAAGGTTTGTGAGCTCTGAGGGTGGCTTTGTTGTAGTGTGTGGGCTGCTTCAGTGTTTTTTATGTTTAAAAAAATAAATTGTGTTTTCATGTTTCTTTGCTCTCTCTCCATTATTGTTTCAGGAATGCATCAGAGCTCTTGGTCGAAACAAACCCCACACTCCGTTCAGGGCCAGTAAGCTCACCCAGGTCCTGAGAGACTCCTTTATCGGCGAAAATTCACGCACTTGCATGGTCAGTTTTCACCTGCTTACAAAATATTTGTCTTTGTTGTCATTTCTTTTTCATATTGGTAATTTCTGTTCTTTTCTTTCTTCAGATCGCCACAATTTCTCCTGGCATGACATCCTGTGAGAACACACTCAACACGCTGCGCTATGCCAACAGGTGGGAATATCTTGTCCTGCTGTGAAGATCCTTTTCTATAGACACAAAATATACAAACTTTTTTACTTCAGTTACAATCCTTAGTGGCTTTAGTTTATATGCAATAACCTGTGATGTTAATGTCAGTTTCTCTTCTGATCTCTTTAGTTCTCTCTGACTCTGTACACCTTCTCACTCCTCTTTTCCCTACTTTGTTTCCTTCTTGTCTCCCTTGCTCTGCTCCTTTGTGTGCTGGTGTGACTCCTGCTGCCATGCAGGGTGAAGGAGTTTGGGATTAGTCCGTCAGACATCCCCTTCTCCCAGGGCGGTCAGGGAAGTCGCCCTGACCACTCACCCACCAACACCTTTGAGTTTGATGACTTTGCTGCGACCTCTCCCAGCAGGTCAAACACTGCTCAGAGCTGAACACTGCATGCACAAACTAATACACGCAAAACTGCATGCACCTACTGCTTTTTATTACAGCCACATCCATGAGCTTATTGTCATTCGCTTCATCAGCTGGTCATTGTGGATGTTTTCTCTCCCTTGTTTTTGTGTCCTGTGACCTCTTTTTCATCCCTGCTGTAACTTGTGCTTTCACTCCCTGCTAAACTATTAAAACATTTTCCTTTCATCAACTCCTGCAACATCCAGCTGCCCTCATGAGTATGTCCTCATATGTGACATCTGCACATGGCTGTGAAAGCAGGAAGTATGAAGTCAGAGTGTAGTTATGCTGATTTAAATTTGGCTTTAGCTGTTGTAAAGGCATACAGGTTTGGTTTGAGCCAACTCTCAGCCGGTAATCCTTCTAACAGGCTGAGTCTTAATTATTTAGTGCTGTACTTAAAGGTTGGGGGCATGTCAGGATGACCTCATCTCCATAACAACTCGTTAAATACAAATTCTGACACATTTTCTGCTTGCATGAGTGCCGCTGTCATGATGTTGTTCCAAAATGCAAACTTTGTTCTCACCTTTATCTCCTACATGTTTCCTGACTATTTTTTGTCAATCTACAGAGTGAAGGAGCTCACAGTGGACCCCAACCAGGTGATGGAAGGAGGGCGACCCAACATCCATGCCGTCAACCAGCTGGGTATTTTAGACGAGGAGTGGCTGAGTATCTCACCTCAGAGAGACGACCTCAAACTGCTCTGTGAGCAAAATGTGAGTGCAGGAAGAACATATTATTCATTTTATAATAAACACAAATTGTATTTGGACGTTCAGTAAATTGTTTTTGACAGTCATCAATAATAAAATCACTAATATCAGACTACGCTGTAGGTTTTATATCGACTAAACATTTTAGGAGTTTTTGTTTCAAAGCTTCCTTGAAATAAACTGAATGGTTTAATTCCTTGTGAGAGATAAACACTTTCAAACAATTAGTATACTTTTAACTGATTTTAACCAGATCAACAGAAGTCTCAATAAAGAACCATGTTGTGTTTATCTTCATTTCTGCTTCTTACTGATTCTATAAATGTTTTCTAGGAAGAGGAGGTGTCTCCCCAGCTCTTCACCTTCCATGAAGTAGTTTCTCAGCTAGTGGAGATGGAGGAGCAGGTCCTGGAGGACCACAGAGCTGTTTTCCAGGTCACTCTAACAAAGAAAATGCTTGTTCGCACAAACACAATGTGTTGTACTGTTTGTGACTTCTCGTACGTTTTTGCAATCTGTTCAAGTTTTTGCAGTTTTGCACCTTACACTGTTTTTATTAGGGGCGCACCGATAAATCGGCCGGCTGATTTATCAGCCCCGATTTCCTTAATTTTGGGAAATCGGAAATTGGCCAATACTTGCATGAAAAATCAATTTTACCGAATTTTTTTTTTTATGTTTTAACAACAATTGTCTAAACTTCATTTATATTTCAGAGCACTACCTCATGGCCAGTTAAAACAAGTTTGTATTGTTTCTAGGATGTTGTTCAAGGTTATGTTTTTCAACAAAATAAGATTAGAAAATTGAAGGTGCATTGTGACCTCATAACACCTGACAGTGTCTCTTATAAAACAAAATCGGTATCGGCCAAAATTGAAATCAGTAGGTCAGACTTTTTAGAAGTCAGTGATCAGTGATCGGCCAGAAAACTGCAATCGGTGCACCCCTAGTTTTGATCTCTGCTGCTCTAAAAACAGAAAAACTTTGTGCTGCTAACCACATATCTGAAGAACATGTTTCTACCTCATGTACAGTACAACCTACACATGTACTAATCAACATGTGTTTCTAGTAGGGATGCACGATATTATCGGCATGGTATCGGACAATATTAGCGATAAAGTTAAAAATCTGACATCAGCCATTCCATCAAAATAACTCACCGATATAAAAGGCTTCTGTTTTAAGATATTTTTTAATTTAAGAAACTGTCAATCATATCTGTTAATGCACTACTACTTATGCGCTTTTCACTTGTGAACAGGTTGAGTTTAGATTTGTGAAAATTTACAAATGTGCACTGTTTGAGTGTTGTCATTGTGTTAGAGAGAGTAAAGGTCATGAATAAATGTGAAATTAAACATAATCCAAGTTGAAGTGTTACATCATTTTCAGCCCCTTTTTGGCATCTGCATTTGGCAACAGGCCAAACTGACAAAGACCGTGCAGAATAATGTAGTATTTTAATTCCACAGCAGAGAAAGCGATGTAGTCTCTGTAAGTAGGTGTAGGGAAAAAATATCAGTATTGGTATCGGTTATGGCCAAATAAGTTTTAACATATTGGCATATCGGCCAAAAATCTTGTTTAGATTAGGTTAGATGTCTTTGTGCGTTTATTATAAGTCTGTTTGTATTTATTCTTCTGTTGTGTATCTGCACTGTCTGTTGGGTTTTTTTTTACGTTATGTTCTATGTTACACCGTGATCCTGGGGAACACTGTTTCGTTTCAATATACTTGTACCTAGCTGAAATGACAGTAAAACCTCTGACACACACACAAACACTCTAAATCTTTCCATGTTGACTCATAATGCAGACAAAGACCTGCCAGTGAGTTTAAAACCTGTTTGAAGGTTGTATACTTGAAAGTTGTTGTTTATCAGCTCATAGTTTTATCTCCACATGATAAAACTACATTAACCCCAGCCGTGTGTCTTTTTCTGGACAGGAATCCATCCGGTGGCTGGAAGATGAAAAGGTGCTGCTGGAGATGACGGAGGAGGTGGACTATGACGTGGAGTCTTATGCCACACAGCTTGAGCAGATCCTAGACCAGAAAATCGAAATCCTCACTGAGCTCCGAGGTACCACAGCTGCATAGACAAACATTTTGATCAAGGCTGAGCTGCTGCTGACTGGTAAACTTTAAAATGTCTCATAATAACTGGCATCGTCGTCTCTGTCCTCTGAAACAGACAAAGTGAAGTCATTCCGCTCTGCACTTCAGGAGGAGGAGCAAGCCAGTAAGCAGATCAATCCCAAGAGGCCACGTGCGCTTTAAAGACTGAAGGCAAACTTTACCACTAGATGTTTGGCACAACCTCAGCTGCCACTGGCAGCTATGAAAACACAATTAAAAGGACTGTGACGCACCAACAGGCTCAATAAATTGTTTTAGTTGTAACAACTCCTAACAGAACTGGCTCCAAACTGATCTGGCATGATTTTTTGGGACGGGAAATAGTTTTTCCTTTTTTTTTTCTTTATCTCATTGAGATTTAGTTTTTAAATTATTTCTTATTTTATACTTCTTTATACTTGGCAGAATTCTTTTGGTCTGCTTTAAAATGAGATCTTAATGTTTCAAAGTTTACTACACTAAACCAGCGTTCTGGTTTCTGGCTGACGTGTCTGCATGTGCACTCTGTGATGGCTTCCATACACCGCTTACCAGTCCTCAGTTGGCATTGTGGCGTCACATTTCACTTTAAGTACCGGTAATCCTTTTCTCCCTCTGACTTTTTACCAGTTTGGAAGACATCTTTTGATTGCAATTGTTGTTCTTTGTGTTTCCTTCCTTGGGTTCTGAGAGCTCTTGTAGTTTTGCTTCAGTCTGTGCCATGTCATTTTATATGGCAGCTGACAAGAACTTCATCTTCCACCTATTTAACTTTGTTATAATACAGAAACTAGAACGAACTGTTAATAAATGTATAGTGAAAACTGTTAAAATACCACTGGTTATGTTTCTCTACGTGTTTGCACCAGATGTAATGCTGGATGAAGTAATGAAACTTTTTTTTTTTTGACTGACATGTGACATTTTGCTCAAATAAATAAAGAAAGCTGTTTTCATCAGACTAAAATCAACCTATTAAGCCCTCCAACTATGGTCTATACAGGATGTCAAGTTTTGTCTGTTTCATCCAGTTTAATCAAATGTGACCCAAAAAAAAGGTATGGTTAAAAAAAAAAATTTAAACTTATTTGTGTGTTCATATACACTTTTGCACAAAATCTGTATTTTACCACATTCAAAGACTATGGTAAAGTTAGTATTTCATCATTTAATGTTTATTACTGTACAAGTATTTACTTTACTATGGGCACTGACACCACTTTTCCAATTACTCATTAAGGTTAAGATGCATATTAAACTAAACAGCTGAAACCCTAAGGGGGAAATATCCTGATGCATGCTCTGTAATCCAGGTAGAAAAATCTAAAAAAGTTAAGTCTGGTCCTCTGGATATTCAAAAAGCAAAACAAACAAAAGAAAAAATGTAAACGTACCCAGGGGAGGCCACACCTAGTCTGTATGGTTTACCTAAAATCCACAAACAAGGTGTACCTTTAAGACCAATCGTTAGTATGATTAACTCTGTCACTTACAATGTTTCCAAATATCTGGCGTCTGTACTCATCCCTTTAGTTGGCAGCTCAGAACACCACATACAGAACACCATGGACTTTGTGGACAAGGTGAGGGATGTCATCATGGAGACTGATGAAACAATGGTCTCTTTTGATGTCACATCACTCTTTACGTGCATTCCTGTTGATGATGCAGTAGAGGTGGTCAGTTTAAGATTAAAATCAGACACCACTCTGAGCAGCAGGACCACACTTTCCACAGAACAACTGTGTCAACTCTTGAAACTGTGCCTGCAGTCAACCTACTTCACATATGGGGAGCAATATTATAGGCAGAAACATGGGTGTGCTATGGGGTCTCCAGTTTCTCCTATTGTTGCCAACCTGTACATGGAGGAGGTAGAAAAGAGAGCCTTGACGTCCTTTTCAGGGACACCACCAAGTCATTGGTTCAGGTATGTTGACGACACCTGGGTTAAAATTAAATCTCAGGAAGTCCAACATTTTACTGACCACATCAACTCTGTGGATAAATACATCAAGTTCACACGAGAAGATGAAAAAAATGGCAGGTTGGCTTTCTTGGACTGTGAGGTCTCAGTCTCTGATAGAGGACATTTGCAAACCGAGGTGTACCGCAAACCCACCCACACAGACCAGTATTTGCAGTTTGACTCCCATCACCCTTTGGAGCACAAGTTAGGAGTCATCAGGACTCTGTATCACAGAGCAGACAGCGTCCCCACTAGCTCAGGAGCCAGGCAGAAGGAGAAATCCTACACAAAACAGGCTCTAGAGCAATGTGGATATCCTAACTGGGCCTTCCTGAAAGCAGAGAAGAAACCCAAACAGGACTCCAGTCAGCCATCAGGTGAAAAGGAGGAACCCAGACCCAGACTAGTGGTCATTCCGTATGTTGAGGGAGTATCAGAGAAACTGAGACGTTTATTTTCTAAACATAACGTCCCAGTGGCTTTTAAACCCCAAAATACATTACGGCAAAGACTGGTTCATCCCAAAGATCCAGTCCCCCGGCACAAACAGAGTAATGTTGTGTAAGTTGTTCAGTGTCAGGAGGGTGATCAGTCTTACATCGGGGAAACTAAACAGCCACTGGCCAAAAGGATGGCCCAGCACAGAAGATCAACATCATCAGGCCAGGATTCTGCGGTCTACACTCATCTCCAGGCCAGCGGTCACTCTTTCAGGGATGAAGATGTTCACATCCTGGACAGAGAGGAACGATGGTTTGAGAGAAGAGTAAAGGAGGCCATCTTTGTGAAAAGAAATCGTCCATCATTAAACAGGGATGGAGGCCTCCGGGTTCAACTGTCCCCCTCTTACAATGCTGTGATTGCTAGTATCACTCAGCCCTCTGTGAATAGTACACAGCCATCAGTGTGCTAATGATCCATTGTTAGGCTGATGGTCCTTCTTGAGCATGTGATCAGCTGGTTTTGGTTGTCAGCAGCAAACTGGTTGATCCACTCTGAGAAGGTGCTATTTAAGAGACTGAGCTGAAAACAGCTCCTCAGACTGAGGAAGTCTCTTGGATGAGAGATGAAACGTTTCTACAGTTTTTCTTTTTTGTTGTTTTTTCAATGTCCAGAGAACCAGACTCAACTTTTTCAGACCTGACAGGGAAAGTTTCAGACCTAAAACTGCAGCTTACATTTCTTTGCTCTTGGGGAGGCTGATTCAAGTAATCTACAATTCGCAGTGGTGGGATGTAACTAAGTGCAAATACTTTGTTACTGTACTTAAGTACATTTTTCATGTATCTGTACTTTACTTAAGTAGAGTTAAATGTGGGTACTTTATACTTTTACTCCACTACATTTTACATCAAGTATCTGTACTTTCTACTACACTACATTTCTATAACGCGTTGCATTACAAGTTACATTCATGTTGCGGCTTTTTGATTTGTTCATTAGTTTGAAAGTAACTAATGTTGAGAGGGGAGTTGGTCCATTGAATCACTGCAAAGTGGGCAGGTTATGTTAGACCCGCCTTCAATAAGAGCTGGACCAATGACATATATTCTAGTATATATATGTCACTGAGCTGGGTGCACCCGCAGCACCACTAACACACCCAAAATGTATTCCATCGTAAGAGAGTCAGCCAGAAGATATGCGCCACCCATGGCTTTATTGAAAGACTGCTCAGTACAACAGGACAGATTCTCTCTCCCAAAAGAGCCAGACTGGACTCAAAAATCTTTAAAAACCAACTTCTTCTGAACTTGAACAAGAAATTCTTGCTGCAATATTAAAATGTGTCAAGTTCATGGATGTTAGGAGACAAGAGATGTCTCCAAATGACTCGACACTCAGGTCCAAGTTTTGAAAATGGTGTCATGAAGTTAAAATATTGTTCACTATTGACCCATTACAAGGTCAACTACAGTATTTTAACTGGAGTTGATGACAAACTGGAGTTGAAATATCAGTGGAAATGATCAGAGCCTATTCGTTTCTTAGGTCTAATGTTCCTTTTGTTCAAGCAGACAACTTTTACTTAAATGTGTTTACTGCAGTTAAAATGACACATTGGTTTTACTTTGCGTTAAATAAAAACTTTCAAAGGTAAAATCATTCCTTTCTTATTTTTGCTTAATGGCATTGAACTCTGCAGGTCGTCCCTGAATTTTTGACGCACAGAATCACAAGTCCAAGTGTGAACTGTGTCACAGAGTAAACACAATAAAAACATGTATTATCTGCAGCATTGTTCATTAAAATGGAACACTAGTAATGTATTACAGAAAATATACATATGGTAGGCAGACTTAAATATATGTAGACCATTGCATTATGTAATACATCCAGGAAGTACTTATTTACTTTTACTTAAGTAAAAACATTAATGTGGTACTTCTACTTTTACTAAAGCACATTTTTGTCCGTTTATTTGTACTTTTACTTAAGTACAGTGTTTGAGTACTTTCTCCACCACTGACAATTCATCCTGTTCACTTGCATAACCCAACATCGGAGTACAAACTTGTCTTTTTACCTTTTGGACCAGTAGATTATTTTTTAACATGCAATTCTGCTCCAGTTATGGCTCAGGTATAAACTGCATAAAACTGCTGTAACTCCAACCTTTCGCTTTCAGAGAGCGAGCCATGTTGTGCACACGAAAAGAAAAAACGCAGCAGAAAAGTTCCCGTTTCCCTCAAAAAGTTTGTCATGTAAACAAGCATTATTAATGTTACTGACAGGAGTCGGTCCAGACTAATGAATCTCTTCTAGCTGCTGTGAATATTTACTCACATCTAAATGCTGTAAAAACAAGTCATAGACTGAATAGTGATTCGGTTCTGTTTAAATAGTGCAAATGTACAAGTGTAGAGCGTTTTATAGAGAAAATTATCTAGTTGAACAGTTTTGAAGTATTAATATCAAATTATTTCAGATTCTAACTTTGCAATTCAATCATATCATCGAGTCCAGTCATAAACCAGTTCAGCAAAGTTTGACCAACATAAGTTTTCCAAAAAAAAAAAAAAAAGTCTGTAAAAGCCGCTAAACATTCAATATTTTATTGACCTGACAATGAAACTTGAACTGGACAGCATACTTAATCTAGTCAGCTGCATGCCAAGATTTGAATAAATTATTTTTTGCATTAGAAACATATTTTTCCATAATTTTGTGATTAATATCAAGCAAAACATTTTGAAGCATGAAACAAAAGATTATGGAAGCAGATTTCAAGAAAATGAGTCTGCACTTAAAACGATAAAATAATGTGTTTTTTAAACACTTCTGCAGATTACAGTAATCATGCATAGCATTTTTTTTACGTGCACACCTTAACACCTGCAAGAAGTTGTGTGTGCATGTTTACTGGGAAAAGAAAAGACTCAATATGAGCTAATTTCTGTTTTGACACTCAAGTTCCTCCAAGTGCACCATAGCTTCACTTGTTTTTCAACATCTTCTTGAGACAGGAGGTCAAACTGTTGTCACCTCCATCAGGTAAAGTGGATTCCTGCAGTGTTGAATGCATGCAGCAGTCTGAGGATGAAGAACACATTTCAACATGTTAAATTATGTCACAATGAAGTTTTAAAAAGTTCAATCATGATTTTTTTAAAATTACATCATGAAGTCGTCGATGTCCATGGACCGGGCCCTCTTGTCACTGAAACCGGCCTCCTGCAGAACACTCTCGATTTTTTTGCCGATGCTGAAGTCGTCTGGAACGATCTATAGAGACGGGGGGGAAGTTTGATTAAGCTGAGCAGTAAGTGAAATAAAAAGCAGCATTTCACAGAACTTGTTTTGATCCAGTCATTTACTCACCACGTTGTGGACGGAGCAGTGAATCCTATAGTTCTTCTCCAGCAGCTGCTCCACTGCTGCAGACCTGGAAATTAAAAGTCATGAGGTCTTCTACTTTAACAGAACAGTATGGGTTGTGGGTTTGAAGCCGGCAGATGCTCACTTAAAAGCTGCACCGAGGGTTTTGTTTTTCCGTACAAAGGCGATTCTGACCAGACCGTCCCACTCCTGTGAAAAACACAACAACAATAAGATGCTCTCCTCAGAAAGACTCACCACAAGAAGTCAAAACAAACCTGAAAGTTAACCGGAGGAGGAGGGTTCTTCGGTTCTATCCTGACGACACTTGACTCAACTTTAGGAGGAGGGCGGAAATTATTCTTCCCCACCTGAAATGAAAGAGGGAAGCTCAGCATCAAAAGCACCCTGAACACGTAGTCCATCTTTTCTGCGAGCAGACAAACATCTCGAGAACATGCTGACCTTCATGAGGTGGTCGACACGAGCCAGCAGCTGTGTGTTGATGGACAGCCTGCAGAACAGCTTGTCTCCAGGTTTGGCAACCAGTCGCATGGCAAACTCCCTCTGGAACATCAGCACAGCACATCTGGATAAAACACAAAGAGGCATTTAACGTGGTACGAACAGCTTATCCTCAGTTAGGCTTCAGTCACTTCTAACCTGAAGAAAGGTCGGTGCAGCAGCAGCTTGAAGACAAACGGTGATGAAATCTGCAAGATTAAGACAAATATTTTAAATGAAAAATAACAGATTCTGTCAAATCAACTATATGCAATATGTAGATAAAGTGTTCACCTGGTAAGGCAGATTAGCTACGCAGATGTCAAAGAAAGGCATATCTGTTTTTAATACATCACCAACTAAAATCTGAAGTTTGGTCTGCAAAGGCCTGTTGAGAGCAACGATGTTCACAACAAATTAAATCTTTGTTCACGTATTGTTAGATAAACAGATTAAACAACACGTGTTGATGGCCTCACGCACGTGCATTGTACTCTTTTCTGAAGTTCAGCCACAAGTCTGCAGTCCAACTCACATGCCACAACCTGCAAAAACAAAACCAACCATTTTAATGTTGAATAAACTAAAACTAGACAGGAACACAGATGTACAGTAGTCCCTCGATACTTCGCAGCTCGTTTATCGCGGACTCGCTCTATGGCGGTTTTTTTTTTTTTTAGTACTGTACATTTACATAATATAAAAATTTTAAAAAGGCACAGTTGTAGTTTTCTTTCATTAAGCCTTCACTGTTTTTGCCAGTCTAAAGAACTATGTTACCCAGAAGCCATCACTTCCTGGAGGTCAACACTGCTGCAAATGGAGGGAAAGTTTTGCTGTAAAGTCAGAAGATCTGGAAGTTCTGTTGCTCACAGGACTGGCAGGAAAGTCAAATAATTCTGAAGCTGAACTCTGAGTAGCTGGGCTGTAGCTGATCCAGAATCGGTCAGTGTGACCCGAATCCTGGGAGCTGCAGATGACAAACGACTGCAGGGTTCAATCGTGTTCTGGTCGCGCGGTGCTGGTCCGGACCGAGCCAGAGGTGGTGGATTAAATCCTGGGCAGCAGCACGCACACATCAAGCTGGCTGGAGCGGTGGGCTTCAGTCATGCTGTACCAGGACGTTTTTCATCTATCGGGTCGGACCAGAACCAAGCTGCTCCTGTACTGCAGATCCTGGTAAGAAAAATTTTGTAGCTCCTGTACATATAAGTACTGTATGTTGTTAAAATTAGTAGGTTTAAGAGTTTAGAGGACTGATTTGTGGGCTTCATCGCTGCAGTATAGGTCTGCAGAAACATAGCTGTTGCTGTCCTGCAGTGCTAATAAGTAAAATTTAGTAACGTATGTTGTTAAAATTATGTAGGTTTAGGCGTTTAGAACATTCACAGAGTGTGGGAAGGGTTTCTAAAGCCTTAATATAAAGTTTACTGTATTTGAACTTGAACTACTGTATCCCTACTTTGCGGTTTTTCACTTATTTCGGGGCTTGACGATACGATCCCCCGCGATAAACGAGGAACTACTGTACTTCTAATATTCAAATCATAACTTAAATAAAACACAGCTTTTAATGCAGTACAGCAACTACATGCATTGTAATATCTGTATTGAGTGACTGAAGCAAAACTAGTTTTGTACCTTCTTTGCTTTTTCCAGCAGTTTAACCGTCATGTTACCAGTACCAGGTCCAACTTCCAGAACCACATCTGTCGGCCTCAGCGCAGCCTGAGAAAAAGGGGAATGCAAAACAAGTCAATGTGTGTTTAGCTGTAAGCAGGCTATACCAGCCTTGAGTATTTATTTATTTTTTTAATTGTCCAGTTATCCGACTGTAAAACCCACTGTCTTTGAGAAGTGCTTGTCTAAGTTCAGGTACATTTCTATAAAATAGTTTTCACCCTTCCTGATGGAAATGTGAGTGTAGTTTATTTTAGCACGTTCATTTATTCTATTCACGTCCTGTTTAAATGTATGTTTTTCTACTTATTAACATTTTGATGAAAGTACAGTACTAGTTTATGGAATAGCTGTAATGCCATTGCGAGTCCTGCTGGTTTTGCTAAAAATAAAAGAGCAGACAAAAAGGGTAAAACCATCACATTAGGGCTCTTAATGTCAAACATGTGTAAATGTGCCTTCTTTATATTAGTTATATTAAATGCAACAATGCAGCAGCATAGTTGTGACCCATTTTATCCATGTCATCTAGTCGGAGAGGATCTGGAGGGTCTAATGTGATCGTTTTATCGTTTATGTCAGTATAAATGGGGCCTCTCTCCTAAAGTCCACACTGACGCGGCTGCTTCATAACTCAAACAACACGAAGGGCAAGCGCATCCATCAAGACACGTTTATGTGATTTTTAATTGTAAAATTTGTGTAGACACGCGCTCCATCAAATCAAAGTAAATGTTGAAAAAGCTCAGCTCACCAAAACCTTACTTGTTTTAGACATCTCTGACCTCTGGTTAATAGCAACAACTTCAAAACGCAACATAATTAACTTTATAGAAAATTAATAACGAAACGTTCCACAGCTACTTCGAGTTCTTTGAAATATCGTTATAAAGTTTATTTTCCACTCACTGGATGTAATTACAGTAGTTCTAATAGACTGAAAGTGTGCGCTTCATATTTACAGTGCTAAACTTGACTGTGTTTCTGTACAAATACTCGTGGCAACATGTCAAAGCTATAATGATCCAGAAGACATCAACTCATCCCACCTTCTCAATGATTGCATTGACGACCAGAGGATTCTTCAGGATGTGTTGACCAACGCCAGTGTTGAACATGATCCCTACAAAAACAGCAAACTTGAACTGATGTTTGACAAATCAGACACTAAAGACTAAAGCTCCATGCAAAATAAACTATTATTCATCCATTCAACCTTTATTCATACAGGTTAATCCCACTGAGCCTCGGGGACTCATTAACAAGAGAGACCTGATTTTAAAAGCGTGATGACAACAGTGGAGACAATCATAGAGGATGCATACAAATGAGAAAAACAAGTGAAAATTAAATGGTAGTCTGGAAGGCTATGTAGAAAACTAAAAACACGTCTGCATTGGTTTTCCCCCATGAACTTTAGCAGATGTTTGAAGCCTTTGAGTAAAAAAGTTCCCCTCAGGAGTGAGTTTGTAAAGTTAGGTACTAATCATGGGAATCGATGCAGTCTTTACCCAATGCAAGGTAAAGTGAGTGAAATTAAGCTTCAATGCATAATTCACCTTTTTCTTTAACTGGAAACAAACACTAGTATTTTTGTTAACTAAACTCAAATACATTAAACACGACAGCTGTTCACTCGTGTTCAAACTTTATTATAAAAACACACTTTCCCTCTCCTATAACTTATAGCATATACTTATAGTATAAGCAACAGGTGATATTTAAAGCAGTTATTTAAGTCAGTATTTATGTTTGCTAACAAGCTAAAGCTAACTCATCGAGAGAAACAAACCTTGGCTTTTAACGTCTTGGTGCTGCCTGCTCCTCTTTTCCGCCTTCACCTTCGGCATTTTATACTAGTTGGATTAAAACTAAATAGCCAAAATCCCAATTTTATGTCAACTTCCCAGAATACGCCCGAACAGTCAGTCGATCACACGTGTTTCTTTAGCGGTTAGCGACGAGTGCATTAGCGCCACCTGCTGGTTCGGAGGAGGAACTGCACGCGGTGATTTCTTCTTTTCTTTTAATGGCGACTCGCAGTTAAGTGGTGTATACCGCCACCTACTGTTCAAACTGTTTTTCACCGAAAAAGTCCATGCTCTCTAATCCAGGTTCACAATCCAACAATTTTCAGTCAGGTCATCTGGACAGTTTCTTTTTTTGCTGAAACGTTTTTCACCGACATAAACCAGAAATAATTTCTTTCTCTCCGTGTCGCTTTTTAGTGGAAGTTACAGCAAATTTCCCCTTTAAAGCAAATCAGCTTATGAGATAAAGATTTTTATTAGACGATACAAGACAGAAGTCTTTAGATTAAAAAAAAAAAAAAAAAGTCTCTAGTCTGAGATAGGAAATTCCTCTAGCGTCATGGCAATGTCTCGAAGTTTAGGATCATCCAGCCAGTTGACTTTACAGGCCAGCAGGATGCCCTGAGAAGAAAAATAAACATTAACAAACAACAAATACAAATGTAATAAAGAAACTAAGTCTAAAATACATTTTGTTTTCTGTGATATTCTGTAGATTATTTTTTTTTTTTTACCCTGAGAACATTTTGTGTCATGATGGCCATCTTCTTATATTTTTCCAGATTCTCTTGACCTTTCTCCAACACAGCTTTGTATTTTTCTGAATCTGCGTGCTCCTTCTTAGACGTTAGTTCTTCCATCTCTTTCATCTTCTCGTGGGTAAGCCGTTTCATCTCTACACACACAAAAAGATCAGCTAATTAGTCTAATTCTAAAAATCGGGCATCGACCGAAACAACTCATTTCAAAGCAAAAACAAGCAAACTGAAAGTGTTGCTGGGTTTTAAAGAGCAAAACAAACTATATACAAACAAGTTTAACCACATTAAATTAAATAAAACGGCATACCAAGTCTGTTTTTCTGGATTTCTGTAATTTCATCTTGAAGATATCTTGTCTCCTATGGAAAAAACAACAACAATATTTTAATGCAAAACAGTGAGGCAAATTTTTAGCAGGACCAAGTCAGAATCCAACTTAAATTCATTGCAATTGTATATAACAAACAAAACTATAAGAAGGTCTGTCAGGTGCAAAATATCTTAACAAGTATAACTTAATACTAGACTAAACATGAAACTATGAAAGCATCAACATGTTGCGTTGTTCGACATCATAATTGCTTTGGGATAAAAACTGCTCTTAAGCCTCATGGTCCTTGTTTTTCTTGACTGGTGGCAGCTCCCAGAAGGCAGCAGTGTGGAGGAATGACTGGGTCGAGATGAGTCTTTATGTTGTTTGCTCTTTTTAAGCATCTGAGGCGGGAAATCTGCTCCTACGGAGACGCTGAAAGGGTGCGTTGAATGGACTTTCGTACCAGTGGAGACATCTCCAGGTAAAAGAGTTGATTTATACCACCTAAGTGTACTGGGGGAAGAAGCTGAGAAAAACCCGGAGAGTGCCGTTCTGATGCTAACACAAACAAACCCCCTCACCCATCTTTTTCTCCCTCTAAACTTCATCTTTCCATCTTTAAAATTCTTCTATCAGGTAGAAATCATTCCAGATATTTTAGAAATGTCTGTGTAAAGTTTTCAACCACCGCCGTGTGGTCAATCAAAATTGTACAGCTTGCTAAAATTAGCCATGTTGTTATTTTCCATATTTTGCCAATTAATGTAAATGTGTGATGTGTTAAACTTTGATTCTGTTAATAAATGACCCACTGTCGTTGGTGAGTCAAAGATAATTAACGTCTCACGTTACATTTCTAAATTCAATGCACATTATATACGGTCCAGAAAAATGAAAGAATCCGTTTAATTTATGAATATATCTCATGCATATGTTCATCTACACATGCGAGCAGCTGTGCACGCTGGTTACTCGCTGCAGCGGTTTGCCCCACAAACGAGACAGCTGTAGCAGGATGTCCATAAAGATTAGTTGACATGTAAGCTAACAGCACGAGCATGTCAGCTTCATGAACAGTTACTATGACAGGCCTGGCTGTTGGAGAATAATGTTGCCTGTCTGTGGAGTTAGAATAAAGTTTAAAAACCTTCACACACACCGTGCCACTTCATTTTATGTCTACTAAGACAAAGAGGATGGAAGGTCTTACCTCTTGAAGTTGTTTTATCCGTGAGCACAGAGCCATGCAGCGGTCACTCACAGCTTTTAGGGCACTAAGAACAACAGAAGTTTCATGAAGTCAGTCGTGAAAATCAGTGAAAATCAGCCGACAGAAGTGATTTCAATAGTTAGTGAGCTGACTTACGCTGCCTCTGGATCGCTCTGTTTCATCTTTTCTCCTAAAGCGTGCCACATCTGCATTCTGAAGGACACGAGCTTAATGAACATTTTGTAGATGGACTTGACTTTAAAGTTAATCCCCTAGAGGCCTGAGCAGCATTATTTACCTGTGCAGTGCCAACGTGCTGTTAAAATGAGCCGTTTTTGCTCGTTCCAGCTCACTCATGTAGTCTGGCCTGTGGCATTAGAAATTACATGTCAACATAGAACTTATTACAGTTTGCTTACAATTTGAAGCAAATAAATATAGATTTTAAAAGCTCACAAGTCTCTCTCTGCTTCCAACGTGCTGCAGGACTTTTTAATTTTTCCTGTAATTGCAAACATCAGTTCTTAATAGACTTGTGGAAAGTATATGTTAATGAAAACACTAGATGAATTATGTTACATACCTGCACTGACATGCACCGCCATCTCAAAACACTGATTGGACATCTGCTGTTTTATTCTGAAATTAAAAATATATATATATTATTCTTTAGCAATGGTTTTGGTTTGTGAATTATAACAATATAGCATGCTGAAGATGAGCATGTGAACCTCAGCATGTCTGTAGGTGAAGTATCTTTTTGTGTTGAGGAGCTCTCAGGAGCAGGACCATCACTCAGCGCCACAGTCTCCACCATGTGATTCAGACTCCCCATGTTGTCCATGTGTGGAGAAACCAACAGTTTGTGGACAGTTTACCTGAAAGTACCTGCATTTAAAACAAAGTGCACAGTTACAACTCACGCAGTATGTTCACAACTTAAAAGTACAGGAGTTACAGTAAAATTGAAGCAAAAATGTTCAAAACTCATTAATAAGTTTGTATAAAATGTCTCTACAGCAGCTCTTTGGAGCTTTGAATCCATTCTGAATACATGCATTTATAACAACAGGAAAACAATAAAAATATAGTATACTTTACATAAACAGAATCAAATTGTAAGTAAACGAAGGGTTTTGCCTTTATGAGAAAAAACCTATGACAACATCACAAATGTCAAACTACTGGTAACTGTCCTGTTTTTATCTTTTCTGACTTTATTATTTGAAAATGGGATACTCATATTTACTTGTCTAGATTTGATCAAAGGGGGTCTACACAAAGATGTTTCCCTTTTAGTCATCCTTTTTAAGACTTTTCTGATTTTCTTTGTTTTGAACATCCAGAAGTCCTGCTAACATTTTTTCGAGAGCCGTATTCCATAATGTTGCAAAATACACATCTTTAAAAAGTGTAGCATTTATGTAGAGCCTAATGAGCTGTGCTGTATTAATGTCAAGCTTCAATTTCATTTTGTGGCTTGGGACATATTTTATTTTAGAGTGATAAGGAGCAGGACTTGTTGCAAACCTTTAACAATTAACCGATTAACAAAAGCTCTGTCTCTTTAACATACATTTAAGACACAATGAATGTATAGGTTTAAAAAAAATATACTGAAGTAAAAGTTGACATTCAACCATAGAAAAATACTGCAACACCGCCACTGTATTAAAATAACACTCATACAAGCACTTGAAAAAAAATGTCTGTGCAAAAGTAATAAAACATAAATGAGAATAGAATAAAAGCATATGCTGTGCAAATAGCAAATAAAAGACAGTGTCATAAATAAATAAACACCAGTAATGCAAACGTGAATAAAAAAGTCCATAATTGAAATGGTAAGAAAGTAATAGTGTAATGCAAAATAATTGTGTTTTTAGTGTTGTTTTACACATGTTGGGAGGAAGTAAAACGCACTGCTGGATTACAAATTATATAAATATAAATACAGATTAATCCTGCAGGAAGTGTTTACATCCTGTCAAACCTTTAGGCCACAGGGATGACGTCATCCAGCGTTACATTAGCGCGGGTTCTTCCTGCACAGCTGAAAAACATTTTTGTAGTCAAGTTAAAACGAGTCTATGAAGCAGGTCACTATCTACAAGCTTTAGAAGAATTGTCACAATGTGTTAAAATATCTTACCTTCAAATTAAGTCGAAAAATGCAACAGGGGTCCGTTTCTTCGACGCTCTGTCAAGCTAACGCTAATCTTCCGAGTTTATATTACGATAGTAATTTGCTACAACTGTTCACTAAAACACATTAAAACATTTTTCTGTGAGCACTCGGTTCTAATAAACTCTGCATTTGCGAATTATTCCCGCTGCTCTTGTCAATGTGCTCGCTGCTGTAAATGGGTCGCTGTCGCTTGTTTACATAATGACTCTTTGATGCACGTCGGAGAAAAGAAATAGAGCTTCTAAATATTATATTATCCAACTCCAAAGCATTTCTGTCACTAGTTTCAATCCTTTACTGTTATAACATTACATACGTGGCGTTGATGTGAAGAGTAAAATCTTCTGGTGGACTTTTGCCTCATTTTTACCCATAGTATGATATGGAAATAATGTATTCCCAATGTTTAATGAATGTAGCATTGGCTGTCAGATCCCGCCAGGAAGTGACGAAATGTTTTTGTGCGTTCCGTGTGGCCTCAAATGTCATCTAAAATGTGATTGCGCCCTCTACAAGTCAACTTTTGGAAGTGCAAGTTCGTTAAGAACAATAAAATGACAATTTTTAAAAAATATATATATAAACGTGAAAACATAAATATCCATCCATTATCTTTTACCCGCTTCTTCCATTTTGGATCCCGGGGGTCAAAACATAAATATTAAGATAAATATTTGTTAACCGCTATTATAAAATGTGTAAGTATTCTATAGCTGATTTGATCAATACTGACAATTTACAATGGCAGCACAGTGGTTACTGTTGCCTCACAGCAAGAAGGTCCTGGGTTCAATCCCCGGTTGCAACAACATCAAAAATGTGGGTGGGGATAGGTGAAGCACCCACACCTGCCCCCACCCTCATTCGTCCCACTCTGGGCCCTTGAGCAAGGCCCTTAACCCCCACCATCTGCTCCTCGGGGTGTCCTAGACAGCAGCTCTCTGCTCCACACAGAGGGCTGTGGTAGCTCGGTGGTCTGTGGGTGCGCCAGGAAGGACATCCGGCATAAACAAAATAACTGCAGAGTCTTCGTGCGACTTAGTTCGCTGTGGCGACCCCAACGCAGAAAGCAGCCGAAATAAAAAATAAAAAATAAAATAAACAATAAATATTTTTAATAGTGATTAGAGCTAGACAAGTTACCTTTTGTTGTGGGATGAAGGTCAAGTATTTATAAATACCTATGGTGGAACTTTTTAATGGAGATGAGTGTTTTGCAAATGTAAACCAATGATTTACACTGTACATTTTAGGTAAATATCAGGGTCATTGTTTTTTTTATGCACCATCTTAGTCACTTGCTAGCACAGATAGTGTATTTTATACACAGGGAGATGCTCATTCAAGAGTGTTTTTTGATGTAAAGAAAGAATACAGGTCAAAAACTCCAAATGACTTCAGTCCATCTCCACATAACCAGATATTGTAATGATTCAAGTATTCACCATTTTGCAGCTCCTGAGTGTCAGGGAGGAGTTGTCTTCTCCTCAGTTGTGGTTCATTCATCTAATGAGCCACAATGCTGTTTTTAAGGACCAAGGCTGCCAGAGGACGACGTTGCGACATTGTCTACTTTATTGTATTCAATGAGCAGCCACAGTTCCTAGTACAATTCAGGATATTGCATGTGTATGTGTATAAGGTTCAAGGTTCAAGACTCTTTATTGTCATTTGCATCACATCTGGTACATGAGGTGGAACGAAATTGTGTACACAGGGTCGCTGTTACATCCAACAATAGCAAAAATATAAAGTGTAAAAAGAAAGTAAATAAGGATCTAAGATATAGCCTACACTAAATGAACGCCAAACGGTACGCTAAACATCCAAGATTTACGCTAATCACTACTAGTGCAAAACAATACACCGAACAACAGCAGCACCAACATGAGTCTTGGTGAGTAGATGAATTCTGTGCAGCACCTCGGTGGTCTCAGTCTACGACTGAAGGTGCTGCGGTAAGAGTCCAGTGTGTCACACGGGAGGTGTGACGTGTTTTTCAGGATCTGGAGCCGTTTCCTCAGCATCCTCTGCTCAGACACCTCTGTCAGAGACTGCAGGTCCACTCCCAGAACTTAGCCAGCTCTTGATGAGTTTATCGAGTCTGTTGGCATCAGCTTTCTTCACCCTGCTGCCCCAACACACCACAGCGTAGAAGAAGACACTGGAGACCACCGAGTAACAAAACATCTGCAGCATGGATCTGCAGATGTTAAAGGACCTGAGTCTCCTCAGAAGAACAAGGAAACTCTGTGCTTTCTTGTAGAGTGTTGGTGTTAGCTGTTTATTGTCTAGGTGGACCCCCAGGTACTTGTAGCAGTCCACAGTGTCCACCTTAGTACCCTTGATGTTTATAGGGTTGTGGGGGCTGCTCTTCTTCCTGTAGTCCACCTGCAGCTCTTTAGTTTTTCCAACGTTGAGCTGCAGGTGGTTCTGTCCACCACACCTCTGTATTCAGCTTCCTGGTCACCAGTGATGCAGCCCACAATGTCCGAGGTGGTGTTCTGCAGCCTCACATACTGTGGTAGACCTGTGAGGTAGTCTCTGATCCAGATGACCAGCGAGTCGTTCACATACATGTCCAGGAGCTTACTGCAGAGTAGAGCAGGTGTGATGGTGTTAAAAGCACTGGAAACGTCAAAGAGCATGACTCTTGCAGTGCTGCCTGCCCTGTCCAGGTGTGTGTAAGCTCTGTGCAGCAGGTAGATGATGGCATCATCAACTCCAATGTGTGGCCGATGTGGGAACTGTAGGGGGTCCAAGTATGGTTCTACCACTGATCTGACGTGCTTAAGGACCAGCCAGACCTGGATTATTGAGCATGGACTTTGTTGGTTTTGAACCAGTTTGGCATGATTGTCGATGAGGGAGAGGGCCGGCACCAGAGGAGGGGGCGTGCCAAAGAGACCATCTTAGCACCAACATAACTGGTTTGTTCCACTTTGGAGTAAGCTGTTGGGGGAAGAATCAGTTTTGTGTTGTGTGTTTCCTTGACTGATGAAGCCTTCTGGATGGAAGGTGAAACGTTTCAGTGCAAAAAAAAAAAGAAACTGTCTAGTGTCCAGATGACCTGACTGAAAATTGTTGGATTGTATACCTGGATTATTAAGCATGGACTTTGTTCCTCACATTCGTTTTTTCTTCACGTCACACTCAGCATGGTATATTTTAACAACAGTCTTAGACCGCCCTCTAGTGCCCTTTCTAGGCAATAACAATCCTACTGCAGAACACAACAATTTTCAAGATGACCAAAGGAACAAAGAGGATCAATTTTTGGAATATATTTATCCAGTATTGAATTTACAGGATAACATCTGTGTAACATTTTAAGAGACACCTCCCGGACCTTATTTGAGACAAAAATAAATGAATTCTTGGCAACGACCATGTCTGTTCTCAATCAATATAATACAGATTGTTCCAAAAGTATCTTGAAGCAGGTTTACTAATAGTATTCCTTTGGATTATTTCTCCAATATGTTTATTTCCGGTTTTAATACTAAGAAAAGGGTCTGAGTTTCCAATAAATTGCTCTGGAAACAGAGGATACTGGACTTGAGCTCTATCAGCAGTGGATGAGGAATTTGAAACCTGCTGGGATGGCATCAAAAACAATAGCAAAGTTTTTAGTGGTTACAGAGAATGTTATATTCAGAAAGAAATTCACCATAACTAAATATTGTCCATCTTTGTTAAACAATTGTTTTACAAATAAAATATCATAATCCACCCAGTTCTTAAAAAATAAAGATTTACACTTGAAACAAATATCTTGGTTGTTCCAAATAAGACAGTTATGGGGGAAAAGTTGTGTTTATAAACCAATGTCCAGCATTAAAGTAACCACATTAAGCCCCTACAACAACAAAAAAATAATAATAAATCCTGGATTTAATGTATTACGTCATCACGTCTCTACGTACTCGGCCGTTGAGATTCTGACGTTGCATTCAAATACATTCAGAACAGTTTACCATCAAACTGCTTTTGCCTTCTTTTCAATATTAAAACTTGATATAGTCTTGTATTATCAGTATAACGACATTTTATATAATAAATAACTCAAATTTAAGATATAAACATTATTAATATTGAATCAAGAGTAATAATGTTGTCGTTAAGTCGAAGATGGCATGCTGCTTTAAGAAAATCCGACACGCATTGAAGCACTTTAAGGCATCGTTTTCTTTGCTGTTGCGTTGGATAAATGAGAAGGAATGACACGGATACGTTGAGTTTAAATGATGCTAACCTTTCCGACATTTCGCAGTTGGACGCAGCAGGTTGTCTCACTCATGCGTGGCCTCGGTGTGTTGTATTTGAACGATGTGCGCTGCGGTTTCAGCATCCCGCAGGCACTTTGTGACGAAAAGAGAGGAGGACTGGAGCGGAGAGATCGAGATTAACGGAGCGGGCTCGACGGTAGGGCTGCTGGTAAACACTCGGCCGAAGCTAAAAACAAAGCTAGCGGGAGGAGACAGGGACAGACGCGGGGACACAACAGGAAGCAGGTGGACCAGAGATGGGAACTGATACGGATCTGCTGTAAATCTATCTCCCCGAACGGTTCGGTTGATGTTGTAACACTTTAATACACAGTCCGTGTAACTGCGCCAGAGTCCAGCACTTCATCGACTTGTTTTTATTTTTATCACACTCTGCAGAGATGTCCTTCACAATGGAGGATAGCTTGGAGTCGGGATGGGTCGCGGTTCGGCCGAATGCGTTTGAGGAAAAGGAAAAGCACAAGTTTGTTTTTATCGTGGCCTGGAATGAAGTTGAGGGTAAATTTGCCATTACGTGTCACGACAGGACGATTCAGAGGAGAAGCTTCTGCAGGGACCTTCAGGCCGAGCTGAGCCCGGAGGAGCATGGGGACAAAACAAAACGTCCTGAATTAAGTCCCATCAGGGATAAAGTCTCTCTGAGCCCGAGCAAAGTAGGGTGCAGCCCTAAAAGTAAGTCCGCATCCAAACCAAGTCCTGTCAAGAGTACAGAGGTGCTGGTAGGAGAGGACCAGCTGTCCCCCTCTCTGGACCTGCAGGAGCTGGACATGAGCCGAGAGGACTGCAGCTGGGCCGGGCTCTTCTCCTTCCAGGACCTTCGGGCGGTCCACCAGCAGCTGTGCTCCGTCAGCTCGGCCCTGGAGCCCTTCCTCCCGGTGTTTCCGGAGGAACCTGCCGGGATGTGGACGGTCCTGTTCGGCTCGGCGGAAGTGTCCGACACGGAGATGGACGAGCTGTGCCACGGCTTGCAGGTGTACCTCGGTCACGCGCTCAACACCTGCGGGTGGAAGATCCTGTCGCAGGTTCTGTTCACGGAGAACGACGACCCAGATGAGTACTACGAGAGCCTGAGCGAGCTCAGACAGTCCGGGTACGAAGAGGCGCTCAGCCGGGCAACAAAGCATCTGCAGGAGGTGAGTCACCTCACCTGTGTGGTAGTAGCTGAGACTGATCCCAGCACACATTCTGATGGTCTTCCTAAATCTGTTTCAAATGTTGCCATTAACTATTTGGAGTCCACTCTGTCTATTAGCAAAATATTTCTACAACCACTGGAAACGTTTAAATGAAACGCAGAAAATAATCGTTGGATGCATGAACTCCTTATTCAAGATGGCCACCACAGCCAACTCCATTAGAAAACATAACAATGACTGTAGTCCAGCCAGTTTTGCAGATATTGTGCTAAAAGTTTGTTTGCAGCTGAAAGTCCTTCATAACTCAAAGTCTTAAGTGCTACTTGTTGCTTCAATCTTTGCAGTGAATTGTTGATGTCAACCCTGTTAGCAAAATATCTGAAACAACTAAAAATCTGTCATGTCTCACACAAAGATAGTTTAAAACTCTGGCTTTAACGGTGGCGAGTGTTGTGCATTCTTTTTTTAGGAAGGCTTTTAATTTCAAAGTTGTCACTATCCATGACCAAAACAACACATTAACAGCTTAACTAACACTCTTCTAACTCATCTTGGCAGTGGGAGAAGATTTAGAGAAAATGGGGGCACCTGCAGACACGTCCTCTTTAGTATTTTGTGCTCTCAGCATGCCTGTCTTGCTGCACCCACAGCTGCAAACACACACGCATGCACAAATGCAACCCAAGTACTTCTCACACCCTTTTCCATGAGCTTGTTGAAGTACTGCGTCAGCTTTTGTTATGGCCCTTCTGAAAAGCCTCAACTTTTACCTGCTAGCAACATTTAACCGCGGCATATTTGATTTAGATTAGAGTCACCATAGAGATCACTCATACACCAGTGAGTAAAACCGATCATCCCATTTTAATGCCATTTTCTGCACACTCTAAAAACCTGCCCAGAACCATCTCGAGGAGAGCACCGAGGTGCTGACTCCTGCAACTCCACCTCGCTGCATCCACTTCTAGTCAAGAATCTGCAGGCTGAGCTGGAAAACACTTGAATCACGGTGACTTCATGCACTGAAGCTTACTGCAAATGTTTAAACACCTCATAGCGAAGTAGCCGCCGAAAGTTCAGACTATCATAAAGGAAACCAGCACTGGTGTTGATTTCAATGTTGCTGCAAATAGGTTTACACATAAAACCAGTTCCCAGACGTTTGATTTGTATTGTATTTCATTCTTAGCTCACACTGTTTTTAGCCTTTTCAAGCAGCTGTGCAGTAATAAAAAAAAAAAGGGGAAAATAATTAGTTTTGTCTTTTGTGACCCCTGTATTAAGCATGTGCAGTCCCGTTGGTTAGGCTGTTGCATGCCATCTAAAGCCGATTTGCGGAAGTGGGAGCGCACAGAGGGACGACTCCTTGTGCATTTCTTCGAAATTTAACAAGATAACCACCTAAAACAATTATTTGTTTGCTCGACTTTATAGTAAAGATGTGTCTCAGATGAACTTTTACATAATAAATGCACTTCGTTGGTCACATTAGCTGCGTTCCACTGGGGCGGCACAGCAAAATGAAGCTGATTTGACGGTTTCTCCAGGCATCATCCCAGAGCTGGACGGCAGTGGCAGACTGTGGCAAGCTGATTGTGTCATTAATAGCCACTTTTACATATTACATGACACAATGGCATGTCGTAGACTCGAGTGCCATCTAGCAGATGAAAGTGGTAGTCATTAAAAAAAGTCAGAATGAATGAAAACGGTCATATCTCAGCCAAAAATTGATTTATAAATATGGGAGAAAAACATAAATATGTCGCTTCGGTGTATAAGTCACAGGGCATACAAATTATGCAAAAAACTGGGACTTATAGGCTGGAACATGCGGTAATAAGAAGACAAACACCTTCTAAACTAATCAATAAGAGCTTAATACGGTCATGAATTGGCTTTATGTTGCAGACAGTGGTACAGAGAATATGTCACTAGTAGAAAAACAAATCACTGAATGAGTGCTACAATCTTCAGTAAATGTAAAGAGGGAGGTGAGATAAACTTGCATCAAAGTTCCCAGAGCTGCAAGTGTACCAGTAAATTTCCTGATGCATGCTCAATACCAGTAAGTAATACCAGTAAGTTGTTCTAACAGCCGTCAGACTGTGAATATCGTAGATAATCTGTGGACAGTTTGCTACAGAGTCTCACAGAACTAGAACCAAGCAAGAAATCAATCTCAGGAACAGTTTTATTGAAAGCACATAAACTGTACTACTCCCCAAAGTTGTTTTTATTTTTTAGATCAACTCAGTATTTTCTATAGTGTATGAATCTACTAAGGTTGCTTTACTTCTATTTTCATCCCTTTTGTACGAGATCTAATTTGAATTCCCCCAATTAAATCTTGCATTAGATGATTTAGGGAATATAATGCAGCAATAAAGTCCATGCTCAATAATCCAGGTATATAATCCAACATTTTTCAGTCAGGTCATCTGGAAAGATGAAAAAATGTTGGATTGTATACCTGGATTATTGAGCATGGACTTTGTTGTTTTCAACCAGTTTGACAACACTGTCAACAAGGAAGAGGGCCGGCAATGGAGGAGGTGGCGTACCAAAGAGACCGTCTTATCACAAGCAGAACTGGTTTGTTCCACTTTGGAGTAAGCTGTTCGGGGAAGAATCAGTTTTGTTGTGTGTTTCCTTGACTGATGAAGCCTTCCGGACTGAAGGCGGAACGTTTCAGCACAAAAAAAGAAACTGTCCAGATGACCTGACTGAAAAATGTTGGATAATGCAGCAATCATTTTCATAAAACACTTTCACATAACCCAAACGTTGCACCAAATTAAGACGTTGTGTTTGACACAGAGCAGACTAACAGAGAGCTGCAGGCCTGCTCATGTTACACTGCAGCAGCAGCAGCGAGTGATTGATTAGCAGCTCTTAATATAAACAGACATTATATTTATGCACACTGCCTCTCACACTGACTCTCTAATCAATGGAGTGAGATTAATGCATCCTTGGCTCATGGAGCCGGAACAGTACAAGAAGTCCTCAGAGAGAAGTGAAAGAGATATTTATTTTACAGTTATCAGCATTACTATCTGTTTGATGGTGCCTGGTTAAATAATATTTTAAAGAAAATGGGATTTATATTGAGCTCATATTCCCTGCAGATTCTGCATCTAGACTCCGTTCTTGTACATTAATGTGATCAGGTGACTTTCTGACCGAGGCGTGGCCTCTCTGCTGTACAGTGCGTCTGGCCACAGAAAAAAAAAAGGCAGCAAGTAGCATAAACAAATAACCCACATGTCATTCCACCCAGTTCAGCAGTGGTCACACTCGGAATAATGAAAAACAAGAAAGAAAACCAGACGCTGGAAGGTTTTCATCGCTTCCCTTCTTGAGCAATAAATCAGAGAGCAGATAAATCAGTCATGTTAAAGTGCACCCACCCGCCAGAAGCCATTTGCTTCAATAAAAGTTTCTCCGATTGAGATTTCAGGTTTATTTCTCCTTGTGATGGAGGACAAGACACAGATATCAATCAGCTCTTCCTCCCAGGCTGAGCTCCTCTGTCTCGTATGGCGGCGCTCTGTTACCCAGAGATGGTGGCTGGTTGTCGTGTGGCTGGATTTCACAAAAACTGAACTATTGATCTTCTCACTCCGTTTGAGGACATAGTTCATGGCTCTTTTACTGTTTGCTGGTTGCTAACAAAACTGTTCAGCCTGACAGAAACGTGCACATATTGATCTCAGCACACTGAACTCTGGACGATGCATTAAGACTGCATTTAGTTCTGCTATTATTCACAAAATATCCACGTAACTGTAAGGTATTTACTGAGGACTGACTCACTTTAAAGATAAAATGTGTCTTCAGTTCAGGCCCCTACAACAAGAATAGGAAACAGTGTATATTACATGTGTAAAAAGTTATAAAGAGCGTTTCGCCTTAGTTTTTTGGGGTCTTTTTAAATGTTAGAACTGAATGATGCTCAGTGCAGACGTTAACAGATGTTTCTGGATGTTCTGTCCGTTTGTTTTCCCCGACATGTTTTATTCACATTATTTAAATGTGTAATGACTGTAAACATTTGTGCTAATGTATTAGAGCACTTGTACATTGGAAACATGTATAAACAATGAATATACTGTTTGTGCAGCTGCTGGAGAAGCACAAATCCACAGACAGCATGGTGGAGCTGTTGGAGCTGTATGAAGAAGAAGACCAGGCCTATGGAGGCCTACTGGAGGCCTCAACACAGCTGTACCAGTACCTGCTGCAGCCCTTTAGAGACATGAGGGAGTTAGCCATGCTGCGCAGACAGCAGATAAAGGTACAAGTTAAACGTAAACACCTTTTGCACTATATTTAATGCTTCATGAGCTACTGTCACGCAGAGTTTGGACTAAAATCCACTGCTAACACTTGTGACTTAGAGAAATAAAGAAATGTGCCTAAACACACCACAGATTGTTCAGATAGTAAAACAGCTACATTTGAAACTCTAATCTGCATGTGCACTTGTTTTTGTTATGTTTCTGTTTGTCTGTGGGCACTGATGAGGACGGGTCCTAAAGCACATTTGATGGAAACTCTCACGTGTCTTAAAATAGTCTTTTGTGTGTGGTGTATTCATGAGACAGGAAGAGGGTGACTGCTGGGTGGATACACGGAGGAAAAACTTTGTTCAGTCACTGTAGCATTGCTGGCACGTTTAGATTTTGCTCTCCGACTCACATACAGCATAGTAAAACATTGTTGTATGTAAATTACAACTAAAATCTCAAATTGGTTCACAACTTTTTGCTTTTTTTTTCCAAACACCCTCTTAGTTTTGTCCATCTTCCTCCTTTTCTGAAACGTGACTTGGCACAATGGACTGGAGTGACATCTTGTCTGCTAGAATGGATCTCCAGTTTCTCAGTCTCTATGGACTCTATGAATAAATCATGTGAACCTATAGGTTTACTGCCGGGGCAGGTAGATGCTGACACGCCGAGCTCTGCTCTCGTGCTATGGGTTAAAGCCTCAATCAGACAGTCCAATTTAGATTAGGCTGACTAGATTTTCCTAATCAACGTTCAGTAATGTATTAATCGATGTCTTAATTACAACTGGTTTTAAAAGGTTTTGCATGTATTATCCAGTCAGAGAAGGTCCAGAAAGCTCTTATGAAACAAGAGCCTGTTAGTAGGTTTGACTCAGCGTGTGTGCAGGAAGTCAGGTGCTTGCTCTCTCTCAGAAATCACTTCCCTGCTACAGAGCAGACTCGTGTCTTTTCTGCCTCTCTGTTGTTACGCTCTGTGCGTTTCACTGCAGTGTGCTCACACACACACACACACACACACACACACACACACACACACACACAC